AGAAGAGAGTGTTGGATCCAATGGAACTGGGTTTACAGGTAGTTGTGAGCTGCCTGACATGGAAGCTGAGAGTCAAACTAAAATCTTCTGAGAGAGCAGCAAGTGCTCTCATGCTATTTCTCCAGCTCTGATACTAAATTTTAGCAGTATATTATTGGTGCTTTAAAGTGCTTATTTCCACCTTATTCAAGAGATACTTTAAAGACAAATTCCATATGGTTATAAAGGTGCTTTATTCCTTTTTTTATGTTTCATGCCATAGATGAGTACTCTACAGTAGAGAGCCACTCATTTCTCAGCAAGCAACTTTACTCCACAAAATTTATAATATGCATTTTTATCTTATAAGGCTTCTATTTAACTAGTATTTTCACATACTGAATTTCAACTAGTTTTAGGAACCTGTTTTACAAAATATTTTAAAGCAGTGTGATCAGATGTTACAATTTCCTTTTTTCCCCCATCCAGCTGTTATAATAGGCCCTGATGGACAGCCCTTGACAGTGTACCCTTGCCATATTTGCACAAAAAAGTTTAAATCCAGGGGATTCTTAAAAAGACACATGAAGAATCATCCTGATCATTTGATGAGAAAGAAATATCAGTGTACAGATTGTGACTTTACAACTAACAAGAAAGTGAGTTTCCATAACCACTTAGAAAGCCATAAGCTCATAAACAAAGTTGATAAAACCCATGAATTTACAGAATACACTAGAAGATACAGAGAAGCTAGTCCACTGAGTTCAAATAAACTTATCTTAAGAGACAAGGAGCCGAAGATGCACAAGTGCAAGTACTGTGATTATGAAACTGCCGAACAAGGACTGTTAAACAGACATTTGCTGGCTGTTCACAGCAAGAATTTTCCTCATGTTTGTGTTGAGTGTGGAAAGGGTTTTCGTCATCCTTCAGAACTCAAGAAACATATGAGAACCCATACCGGTGAGAAGCCATATCAGTGTCAGTATTGTGTCTTCAGGTGTGCAGATCAATCAAATCTGAAAACTCACATTAAGTCTAAGCATGGTAGCAACCTGCCATATAAATGTGAGCATTGTCCTCAAGCATTTGGTGATGAGAGAGAGCTTCAGCGCCATCTGGATTTGTTTCAAGGACATAAAACACACCAATGTCCTCATTGTGATCATAAGAGCACCAACTCAAGTGACCTTAAGCGGCACATCATATCTGTCCATACTAAGGACTTTCCTCACAAATGTGAAGTCTGTGATAAAGGTTTCCATCGTCCTTCGGAGCTTAAAAAACATAGTGATATTCATAAGGGTAGGAAGATCCATCAGTGTAGGCATTGTGACTTTAAAACATCAGATCCATTTATTCTTAGTGGTCATATTCTTTCAGTTCATACAAAGGATCAGTCATTGAAGTGTAAACGGTGCAAGCGAGGGTTCAGACAACAGAGTGAGCTCAAAAAGCACATGAAGACGCATACCGGTAGGAAGATTTACCAATGTGAATATTGTGAATACAGCACCACAGATGCATCTGGCTTTAAACGACATGTGATTTCAATACATACAAAAGACTATCCACACAGGTGTGAATTCTGCAAGAAGGGATTCCGGAGGCCATCAGAAAAAAATCAGCATATAATGAGGCACCACAAGGAGACTCTTATATAGGAAGATCAATATAAGGAAAGGAGTTATTTACAAAATAAGATATGCTATTTGGGAGGAGAACCTCACTGTTTTATCTGGTTTCAAAGCGTGATATTAAGTCATACCTTTACATTCTTTGTATTAAAGATCTTAAAAACGATTGGGATTAGAAGGGGAGTCTCATAGCCCTTTGAAAACTACTTAAAGAGTTCAACAAACACCATAGGAGGGTTGCAGAGGAACTTAACTGTTTATTAACAGTATTATGTGCATAACTAAACTACAGAGAGGGAAAAGTTAAGACACCTTATTTGATTGGTCATACTAGAGGTGAGTGTTTCTGAAAGGAGAATATATAACTGATTTAGAAATGCTTTGCTGTACCAAGCAGCCTCACTTTTATGCAATTTTAGAAATGGGGTGGGGAAAGAAAATGCAGTCATCCATCAGTCACTTAGTCATTGAACCTTTTATATTGTACCTGGACATTGGATTCCAGAAATGGCAAAAGTTTTGTGTATTCGTTACAAGGAATCTCATTGAGAAAACAAGTTATATTAATTCAGTACTAGTAAAATAAAAAGCACTTCAGAGTTGCTGATATTTTATCACAGGATACAATGTTTAAGACATACATTCTGTGCTGAAATCTGAAGTGAAATATATGAAATAAGGTTCCAGTTTTGATGTTCAAGTAGATTCAGTATGGCATATATGATAAAAATGTATTTGAGTCAAATGTGGCTTTCTAAAATGGATGCAACTATAACATTACAAAGTCAGAACTATGTTTCTTATTATCTAAATATTAAATTGAGAGAACAGTTTTCTTAACTATTAAAATATTTAGAATTTTTAGGACAGTTTTAGTAAGTATGACTGTTCAAGTCTTACTTGCTCTAATGTTTAAAGGTGCAATTTTATGCCATTATTGAAAAGTTTGATTTTTAAAATCTATATACCATATTCTTAACATAAATTTTCAATGAGGCGGTATTTATGCAGTATTTAACAGAACTATATGCTGCCAATAGGGTTTGGAGGTGGATATTCAGTTTACAGTGTATAAATTTAAAATATGCATCCCTTTAACAACGCTTTGTGTTAGCATGCTGCAAATCAAAATGGCGCTTAATATTAAAAGCTGGTGTAGGGAATTTTAATGAAAATCCTGTTCATAAATGTAATGGATATGATGTGTACTTTTAAGTTTTAGTTGGCTTAATTTAGTTTATATTCAGCTGTTCAGCATAATTAAAATGTAATTTTTCTTCATGCTATATTGTGGCTTTGTGTTTTAAGTAATATTCACCTTTCTGTTTTTGCACCAGATAAGAATCAGTTACTTGAAAATAAATTTTTTATCTTTCTTAACTTGAGAATACTAAATTTGGAAAATCTACTAAACTTGTGTGTTATGTGGCTGTAAATGATGTACACGCTGTAAAATAAGATTGTTACTGTTATGTGGACTTATTATTTCTAAATGTTACTCATTGAAATGAGCATAAAATAAAAAGCATTTATTGCACTTCAAAGTTTTGTAAGTTTATTTAAAGTTGTGTTATAATATGCATTTCTTATTAAAGACTTCTCGCTTAAACTTTCTCATAGGCAGTTTGATCTTTTAAAAATATCTTCTTCAATTTTGTGCATTAATTAACATGAGCTAGGGATTTAAACAGTTATCAATGATTATGGCATGTTTACTCCTCAAAAATAGGCATTATTTGATAAAACAATGATGAAATGCTTTAAGTAAAAGTACTCATTGTAAGACCTGAGAAAGGAAACTAAAAATTTTTAAACTGTTTACATGATCTAGTTCCGAGGAATGATTATAGCTATCAATTTTCCCAATATACACTCAAAAGATAAAGTATTGATTCAATCATTGTTTCTGAAAACAAGCATATACTAATTTGCTGTTCTCCAAAAACTATTTAACAGAATTCATAGTGCCATATATATATGTTAAATTTCTGTCAACTGAGTGATTATTCTTTAAAGCCCATTAGCTGCAGAAGGAATCTATTAACTTCATGCATTAGACAAGTGCTCCGAGATTTTAATAATTGTAAGGTCCACCTAGGGATCTTATTGAAATGTACAGTCAAATTCTATTGTAGTGACTAGTTTCACATTTCTGGCAAGTTCACTTATGTTGAGACCCTGTCACTGTTAAGGTGTTACACCAAAACCATTGACTGTAATTCTAGAAC